AGACCTAGTTTGGGCACCTTGACTTCATCGCCCTCCCTGTGCGTAGCAGGGACCTCAGCCGCCTGGGTTGAGGGGGGTCTCCCTTAGGTCATGTGTCTGACTCCCTGTTGCGTTACGTCAGAGACCTGGGTTCGAGCCCCAGGTGTTGCGGGACGATCTGGCGGGGTGGAGCGGCAAGGGAACACTCAGAAACTTTTCAGCAGCATAAAATAAAAAAACAGACAGTTTGTCGAGAGTCTAAAACCAACAAAATTAAGACCCCAACCTGCAGAACTTTTTTTCATTCTTCAATAATTGAATGCTTTTAGGTATAAAGGAAGTAAATGCAGTTTACTTCATCTTTATACAGGGAATTTCGTACCTGTCCCCAGAGTGTAGGAGAGTATATTCTAAAAAGACTCGATAAAAGGGGTCATGTTAGGTTTTATGCACATGATGTCACTCAATCGACACGTTATTGAGTCCAAGAATGCGCCGATGAATAGAAAAGGTTAGAATGCTCTGAATAAAATGAATTAAATCTGTCAGAACTATGCTTTCTACATTAAAACTACTTAACATCCTTAAAAAATACAACCATTGTTGCACCTTGCTTCCATATTGGCAGTCCTAGTTCATTTACTGACACATGAAGAAGGCTTCTCTTCTCAGCATGGAATAAACCAATTACTTGTTCCTTTGCAGACTACGCATTCTGACGCAGCTCCCCACCTGAACTAGTTCATTTATAATTGGTAACAGTGCCAAGGTATCTTTATTTATCACCGATTCAATATCAGAGGTAAACAGCAATTGAATATTTCTTTCTAAAATCAATCATGTTAATGTATAGTATAAGTTAATTAAAAGGTAATTCTAATAATGAAGCCAGATTATAGATGTGGATTATTAGGAGTCCATGACTGGTAATTGCCAGGGAGAAACATGGCCAGGACAGTGGAGTAACACTACTACTCTTTTTGAAAAACATATTGGGATTTGTAATGCCCACAAAGTGCCATTTGCAGACATCTTCCAGCAGCAGCCTCAGTTTTCCCAGGTCTCCCACGCAGGGACTGTCCGGGCTCACACTGCTGAGCTCCAGTGGGCTGCTGGTTGTGATTGTGAAATATCAACAGGGCAAAATTCTCATGGACTGCAGGCTGCTGTTACATTTTCTCCTGCCATCTGCTCCCCACTGTAATCAGTGCGCGCGCACACACACACACAACCCCGTAAAGGACAATACACTCAGGTGAGGCTGTAATTCTGCTCTCTTATCCCTCCTTCCTGACTCACAGACAACTGCTGCAAGCAGGGGAGGATCACTGGATCATATCATGAACATCATGTTCCTGTAAATGCCAAGAAAGGGCCACTTCTGACACATGTAAGATTCTGGTAAGATACAGACTTTTGGAACCAAACTTTTACCTAACCAGGGAGTGTGGTGTGCAGGCCCAGCTTAGCCAGAGCCTTGTTGAGAGGACACCGTTGAAGCACAAGACTTCATATACACCCTGTGGGAAACTAGCCAGATGGTAGAAAGGGAAAAATAAATTAAAAAAAAATCTACCACTTAAAAGGAATATAGCAACAAAGAGTCAGAGGATCTTGTGGATCTTGTGCTGCAGTTTTTGGAAATCACTGGAGCACTGGTCTGCTGAAAAAGAGGGCAAAGAGCAAGTAAATTCTTCACAGACTGCAAAGTTTATTGCGTAACGACAGCTGAGGCAGAAGGAGATTTCCATCGCCACAGGGCAGAAAAATCGGGTTTGGCCCATCCACCAGGGAAACTGTACCTGCTGTTCCAGGCTGGAAGTGAAGCTTGCGTTTTGAACCCGGCTATCCTAATCCAAGAGCCAGCTGGGAATACAGACGTTGAGCAAAGAGCTGCTTGTGACCCAAAAGTCCCCGAAGGTGAGGGAGATACAGCTCGTCTCCAAGACCAGAGGCAACAAGTGAAGCCACTTAGTTCAAGCCTCCGAAAGAGGAGGGACAGAACACAGTGCCTTTGCCACCCGGGCCTGAGCTTCCACATGAGGAGGGAGATGGTCCACACTGGCTGGTGACTTTTCACACTGCTCTTCCTCCAGTCTGTTCCCAAGGGACAGGGTGTCACCAGGGTGAGGGCACCCTGCTCATACCATCCACAGTCTCCACCCTCTGGGGATGTGTGGCCCCCAGCTGTTGTCTGAGTGGAGGAGAGTGTTCAAGCCAGGAGAATGGCTACTGCACGGTCTCTCTGGGTTCGAGTTGAAGGCGGAGTAACAGGCCAGCCGATAAAGAACTGCAATTACAGAGAATTGCCACTAGAGGCCATCAAACAGCCCCTTCAATTTCTATAAATGTAATAATTTGGTCATTACTGGTGATAGGAAAGTTCACATTTTCACATAGGGTTTAATAAATGGTGATTAGGGTTTTTGAATCTCCATTTTGTTGATCCTCAGAGATTAAATTTATGAATGAATCTAGTAGTGCATCTCTGATTTCTGTTCATGGCTGATATATCCTTTTTGTAATGAGGTGACCAGGATTGTACACAATATTCTCAATGATATCTTGACACGTGCATTGTATAATTCAAGCATAATGTCACTGGATTTAAGCTGTACATTTTTACTTCAAATCCTAGATTTGCAGTGCTACCTACTAATAAATTATCATAGTCCAGGCCGGACATTACCCCCTTATTGTGAACGAGTTAACATTAGCATTATACTGTACACGAAGCATTTGAGAGTAAAGTAACAATATAAAAAACGTTTTTAAAAGTCACAAAGGTGCATCAAATTTTAAAAACAAAAAAAAGACATAAAATACCTGAGAGGCATTGATCAAAAGAAAAATAGTTTGGCCTTTTTGTGTTGTTTAATAAACCCTAAGCTTTTCATAACTTTCACTGGATAGTTTAATATCAGCCATATTTAATAGTACAATCATATCTGACCCAATCCATTTAACTGTATACTTTTCCTCAAAACATACTGTATGTTTTTTGTTTCTTAAAGCAGCACAAAATAGGTGACCTCAGAAATCCTAGAAAATACAACCATTTCATTTGTTTTTTCACCACAGAAACCATTTCCTAATAAAAGCACTCAATTCATGAAATAGTGCTCACCCCAAAAACCTTCAAAACATGTACAGCACAATATGTGAATTCCATCAATTTTTACCAGCAAAACTGAAACAGCACCATGACCTTTACATGAAAGGAAAAAGAAACAGCAGCACAGCAGAATACAGAACAAAACACAGACTGTAGTATCTGCCAAAGCAGTTCAGAGATGCTCTAAAGTTCATTGCTAATTTATTATTAATTCCCCAAGCAAAATCTCAAAAGCAACAACACGCTAATGTTAAAACCTACACCCTTGCTATAGAATTGCAAAAACTTCCATGCTCACAAGATGAAAATACAACCGTAAAACACATGTACTGGGAACCTAAACTGGGTGATAATTTCTTAGAGGTGTGACAGTGTGTAGTGGTACCGGTAAAGAGTCAACGCCCCGGGCGGGGGATCGGAAGCAACGGTGTGAGGTGAGCAGGGACCAAAATAACACAAAAAGAGAGGGAAAAAAAACAAAAGGGCAAAATAAAAGAGTACCGATGTGCTGCGTGACCTCCAGGCTGGGTTTTCCCTGTGTAACGGGGTGCGGCCTGAAGAAAAAAAAAGAGATGAGTGCGTAACAAAAACACGTGTGTGGCTGTCCCAGTGAAGGTGCGTGATAGGCAAAGGCAAAGGCAAAGGCAAAGGCAAAGGCAAAGGCAAAGGCAAAGGCAAAGGCAAAGGCAAAAGAAAACCTTACGCGGGTGCAATCCCCTCCGAGACTGTCGGTGAAAACTCCCCTGCCGGAGCTGTCCTGTGTGCCTTTATAGGTCCCGCCCAGCTGGCTCTCGTTAGCCGCAAGCCCAAACAGCTGGACTACCAAGGCGAGGCGTCGCCCTATTACCAGGGCTCCTCCTCCACACTGGGCACTACCCCGCGTCTTGCCACAGGGTCCTTTGTGTATTTTGAAACTGACTGCCTATGGAATAGTTGATCTCATACATAGAAATAGCTGTCATTCAGTGAATTCCGACCATTCAGAGACTTAAGGGAGAAAAAGTCTTTCTAGTACTTTCAATAAGTAATTGCAATAGAATAGCTATGTATTTTTTATTCTTATCCTTATTGTGTACATTTTTTGGACCATTCCAGGTCGATCACTCTCAGATCTCAGATCTGACAGGTAGCTGGCATACTATGGAAGACCTGGAAAGAGAAATTTGCATCCTACTGTAGGTGTGCTACAACCTGAGAAAATAACATTGAAGATTTTTTTCCTGTTTTTGTTCTAAATAATTATTTTTAATGTGTGTACTAAGGTTCAGACTTGATATCCTATGGGTTCCCTTGAATTAAAGAGTACATCCATTCCAGGAAGACAATGACCTTGGGTTCCATTTGGGGGGAGGGTTTAATAATGTTCTAACTACAACCTTTGATTTAATTTACTGACCTGTGGAACTTATTGAATGATTTCAAGCCATTACGGAGAGGAATTGTGTTATACAGCTGATGAAAATGTATGAAACAGATCACAAAGAAACAAAACTTGATACCATGTATACATGAAACCTGATACACATCATCATGCAGCAAGATGGAATTTATCCCAGAAGTATTGAAGTACTGTGGAAAAATGGGACAATTACTGTAAAACTGCCTGAGAGAAAACACTGACCTTGTTGCTTCTGTCCTTGATACAGAAATGCTTCTACAGACAGAATTGACTATATGACTCCAGTCCTTTAAAGTGTCTCCTGTGCATTTCCAAACCTTGAAGAGTTAAATAGGAAAGATGTGTGTGGTAGAAAACTACATTTGTTTCAGATCATTATCCTGCTCCTGTCGCCTATTAGCTAGTTTCCAAAGGACTTAGACAATATGTGCATGGAATCTATTTATTGAAGAGAAGCAGTTAAACACCAGTTTCCATACATACTGTATCTTGACAGATTATAACCATCACCTTGATCCATGGACAGCTAGACAGTTGGTAGTCTAATTTGTGCAGCAGCCTTTGTCCATTAGGTGAGCTATTATAGTCCAGGTGGTACAACTTCCACTTGTTCCGCTTTTGAGGGCTTGTTTTTTCCAGAATCCCATTTGTTAAGTAAGAATTGTAACAAAGATGTATGAATTGTAACAAGTACATTGGAACATGGTGACTGAAACAATAAAGTGACTGAAGGGTTGAAGAACATCTTGCAATACTTCATCCTATTGCTGCTCAAAACATCAAAACGTCAAGAAGAAAGCAATAGCATTCTGAACTTTGAATTCATTGAGGAGTAACCCCAAATCATCTCTCTGTCGGGTGTACCCAGACTGACAGGACCTTATCATGTTAGAAGCCAGTCTTCATCTTCAAATTGCTTTTCTTAAAGAAAGTCTAGCATGTTTTAGCATAGAAAGTGTAGAAATATCCTTTCTGAAAACAGTGTACACTTGCATCTTTTTGGTTGGAGGAATGAGTACTTTAAGAAAAGACACAACTCAGTTGCGAAACACAGGTGTGTAATGGGGTAAAAAATGAAAAGCATTACCACTGGAAGTCATCTGACTTTCTTAATGACTTAAACACAGATTAACAGAGACTGTCCAATAAATGAGAGAATATATAGTATTGAGTCACCTCGCATTATTGCAGTGTGGTGTAGTGGACGGGGCTCTGGCCTCCTGACAGGAGGGCCACAGGAATAAATCTTAGGTGGAGATACTGTTGCTTTAGCCAAGGCACTTCAGCGTCATTCATCCAGCAAACCAACTTTATTTATCAGTGTCAAACATTGGTAAAAAACATAGGTAATTGTAAGATAAAAGTGTCAAATACATTAATAATAATTAACAACCAATGCATAAATCTCACATTTATTTATTAGCATACACAAGTATAATATAAATATAAAATATGCCATTTATTTTAAAATTGGTGAGACATCATTATATCTGTATTGAGACAACCATACAAACGATTTATTTCTACCAAAATTTGTTATGGAGCTGTAACAAACTTTCAGGACTGTGCCATTCTAAAATAAGGTACAGATAAAAGACAATATACTGTATTAAACAAAAAATATTCAGCAGCATATGCATCACTCTTCAGAAATTGCATAAAAGGTAATGTCAAACATTGTCACTGTACAAACAAGGAATCCATTCACAATGAAGTAATAAACATGGAGAAACGGTGTAGAATTAAATACAGATGATTGTGTCAACATGCTCTTTAGTTGTCCTCCACACCAGAGTCCTGGGGGCACGAATCAGAAGGTGAAGTAGCTAGCAAACCACTCCTGCCGCTGGGGGTCTGCGGTGGCCTCAGGAAGGGCGTCTGTCTCAGGAGGGCTGCAGGGGACAAGCACACAGCAATGAAGGTCACCACGCCACTGGGTTTTATTCTTGCATGAGCCAGTGCCATTACCTATGATTTAATACGTCCTCTTTTTAATCCTACTGAAGCTGTGCTTTTCTTCTTTAATTTGTTTACAGGTTCCGTAAAAAGCTTGCTTAATTGAACCATTCTCTGCCTGTATTCTTGCACTTGACATTAAGCAACAACAGGCCAATTAAAAACACTTTTACTAAACAGTGTTATTGCAATGAACAGCTGTAATAGATAATCTGAGCCATGTAATGTCAAGTGCTGCAGGTGTAAATTTGTGTGAGTGGAGATGTAACAACCTTCTGTCACCTGGGGCTTGAAAGTTAATTATTAAAATATACCCTCTTATTAAAGCAGGAAAATCCTATGTGCATCCATGTGTTCTTAAAAATACAGATCGTACATACAGTAAGTTACAGTGAATAAACACTGATTTGAAATGATCTTATGAGTAGAAGTGCCATCTCTGTTTGCCTCATGTGTGTGAGTTAGGTTTTCAGTGAGTGTTCCTCCTCAAGGAAGTAAGTTATCTTTGGCAGCTTGCAGGGCTCTGCTCTTGGTCTTGTTTAAATGTCGTAGTTGGATAAGATTCCATGTTGGTGTGGCAACAGATTTCATTTCTGTGCTGATGACACTCAAATTTATGTCTGCATGAAGCCTTACTGTATATCAATGAAACACGACCCGCCTTTGACACGACTTAGATGGAAAAAAAAGGATGCAACAGTAATAGGTATCAGCTGAGGGCCAATATTCTTAGTCTTTTATCCCTCACTTCCAGATAGTCCTGCCACTTCGACTGTGTGCAGATTGCAGAGGACTCTGAGGACTAGAATTCTATGACAATCGAATGAGTTCTGTTGGTTTTCTCTTCTTCTGTCTCCATATCTAGGCGAGGTCCACACCCAGACTCATCACAACCCAACTGTGCTAATTGATGGGTGCCTAGAAAAAAACAGGGTGAAGATTGCTGTCGTTGTCCTAATTTAATCTGTGAGTCCAAAACAACGAATCCTCCCTAACTGTGGGGGAAGAGATGAGCACTTTTAACAACAGGTACAGTACCATTGGACTAATGAAATAAGAAGGCTGGAGCTCCTTCCTGTAATGAGCAGCTGTACAGAAAGCATACAGTTGCAGCCTTCGGCCTATCTGGCCATAAGGGAGAAAAGACAGAGGAAGATAAATAACACACCCTGTTTCTTGCCAGTTATTACAGTGGCTGATACCTGTTACACAACTTAACTTTTTGCATCATAAGAAGAGTGAAGTTACACTGATTGTCTCTCCAGATAAACTCCACAAATGTGCTAACTTTAGTTTCAATTCAAGCTTTATTAGCTCCTGGAGGAAACTTGTTTTATGGCAGAGTGCAACACTACAATACAACAAAAACAGAAGAACAACAGCAACAAGGAATTCAGTACGAAGTACATCAGGAGATAAGCCGACATTGACGTTTACTTTTACTAGATGGTCTTGGAAGCAGTCCAAGTCCTCAGGAGTCTTGGTATCACCTATGATCCAAGCTTTGCATTTCAAGCTCAGGTTTGCAATGTGGAGAACGTGTCCGTTTTCATTCATTATATTGTTAGTATCCATTCACATCTCTCCAAACCGACAGAGAAAAGGTATTGCTGGATTCTGTCATTTTCTGCTTTAAATATTGCAATGTAGTGCTTGTTGGCATATCCAAACATGCTCTAAACAAGTTGCAACATGTTCAGAACTCAGCTGACTGCATTTCAACAGAAACAAAACCACAGAATGTATATTTCCTATTTTAAGCTTTCATGCACTTATTCCCCATGGATTTCAGAAGAAAATGTCTAATGTCGCTGCTCAGCTTGGCCCTGATGACATTACTGAACTGGCCACTGCCTCTTACAGCTACATGGTATTTAAACTTTTTGGGCTCTGTATTAGATCTTCCAAATTATATTATACTTTAGAATTCAAATTAAATGTAGACCTAAAAGCTAACGCTTATTAAATCAGATAAGTCAGTTCTCTCTTTTGTCTAATCCACCGGACAATTATCTTTGTATCATTCTTGTTGCTCATTTCATAAACAGTACATACAATTAATTTCACTAGATCAGGGTTGTCAAACTCATTTGCAGTGGTGGGCCAGATTTGATTTTAATAAACTTCCAGCATGTTACGCACAGCATGAATTATTGAAATACCAGGTGCAATAGTTAATCGTTTATATTTGTAGGATATTGTTTTTTGGTGTTTATATTACAATGAGGTACCACCCTTTAAAAGTGATTAGTAATTTGTCTGTCTTCATTAGATGCCAATTCAGCTAAATGTGCTCACTACTCTCTTAGAATGTTTTTTTTACATTATTAAGTGTAATTATTAAAATAATCATAGCTCTAATTATATACACCCCCTTCTCACTGTGAGCACTATATACACCCCCCTCTCACTGTGAGAATGATCGATTTAGGAATGTTTGCTACATGAAGGGCTCTTTTTACTGTTTTTTTTTAATCTTGATTACTTTATGATTTTTTTCCAAAACCCCTCCTTTTTTATCATCATGCCATCCAGGTATTACAAACACCAGGAAGCTTTAAGTGACTGGAAGGGCTGAAGTGAGTGATTGGTCAGAAGACATTTGCATTGCACTAACCTGTGCTGTGCAGATGTTCAGCAGTTTCTACCCATTTAGTCTTCTTAACTACTATACTAAGTTAAGTGGACTTAATTAACTTGAATTGTCATAAACATGCAATGGTGCTCTTATTGTGAGCACAGCTGTGATTCTGTTTAAAAAAGGAAGAGGAATCCGTTTAAAAAGAGGAACCAAAATAACCTTAAAACAGAATAGTTATGCCTCCAAGTATCTTAGAAGGGATTACTGTACATTATTTTCTTTATAAATACAGAATCACCAATTAAAAGCTTGTACAGTACACACTCTCCAGATTTTAAATTGGCAAATTACAGCTCAGGTCCCAGCAACAACCCACATGCACAAAGTGCAGATAGACTCTGCAAGCCTATTGAGTCCTTCATCATTTGATAAGAGGAGACATGTTAGTCTCGTACTAACATCACCACAAACCCACAGACAGCAAGAATCAAGATCCAGAATCAGGAATCCATTGGTCAACAAACCCCACCCCTGACAGCACTCAGTCCTTTGTGTGCTCCGACTCTGGGAATCCTGGTCACCATCAGCTTGCGATCATGACCCTGATTTACAGTCTTAAGTCTGTGCCTGTGCTTGGAGTGACTGCCTTTACCACTTGAGCTTGTGACATTCTTCTCAGCATGAGATTCGTCTTTCTGTGCTAAAGACACTGAAAATATTCAGTAGTTCATCAAACCGCATCATACGGTCCTATTCAGCTTCTGGTAATTCAGTTAGCTGTTACATTGAAAATATATGCCTTTTCTTTTAACATTCTGCCATAGTCTGCCATAGATATCAGATTAATGAGCCTGACATTACACAGTAGGTTTTGAGACGCTGAATCCTGAAGACGTCAGAGATTCTTTCCTTGGGACTGACTAACCTTTAATCGGACTCCAAATTTGGATAAAACTTCCTAAGTGTCCTTTTCTGGTGAAATGGAAGAAATCTCATTAGTCTCGTGCTCTTCGATGACAAACGCTGGTGAAACGCAGATATAATGGAAACTGGCATGTTCATTGTCTCATGGATCTGTTGACTGCCATCAGCAGAGTTGAGAAGATTTATATTATTTTTCCTGACATCTTTGACCGGTTCTCTGGCTTTGCCATGATGATGAATGGTGCTGTGCACAGCCTCCATCAGAACCCCACAGTAATCATGGTGACCTTTGTGATTATCTAGTTGTTTCACAAATCACCCATTAACTGCAATGATTTTCTACATTCATATAGAGTATGATCAAACTAGGAATGGCATGATTGTACGGTACATATTTTACAGATATTCTTAATAAACTTGTCAACTAGTCTTAAAACAAACATGAGCCCAGTATTTTAAAGTACATTTAAATTAGGTCATGATATTTCACTTTTTAGTTTGCCGACTCTAAATTTAACTCCAATACTGATCTAAAAATAATTAATTATTATTACCATACAAAATATGATTGCCATTAATGAGATGGTCCGGGGGAAGGTGATACAACATGAAGCTGGTAATACTGTATGTACCCCAGGAGGTACACTATACTCCTAACGTACCTTACAAGCATTCATCCGCCACCTTCAACAGCCTCAAGCTCTTACAGGAAAGCAGCCTCGGCAGCTGCTGCTGAGCTCTAACGAGCAAGCAGAATTGATAGAACTAAATACTGCAGATCGGCTTAACTCCGTTTTTTTCCCCAATGAGAAACGCCATGAAAACCTTGAGAGTCAATTGAAACAAACGTCCCGATTTAGCGTGCAGCTGCGTACTAAGTTTCGGACGAGTTAATACGGTAGTGCTTGGAGATCATGTCCATCTCTGAGCTCAATCCCAGAACAGCTGAACTAGTGCTCAGTGCGGTGCTGAGTGTCTGCATTGCTGTTGTTCCAATAAGCAGGAACTGCGGAAGCGCTGAATTAGAACATTTCAATTAATCTGATCAGCGAGTTAATATGTAGGCGACAATTAGTACTTTTTCTGTTAATATAGAACTGAATGTCAAAGGTTTTTTTTTTATTTAATAGTGGAATTTATGTTTAAATATACCAGAAGGGCACAGTGCGTACAGGAACTCGAAATCCATACTCGATTTCAATGAGTCATGAAACAAACGAGAACAGCAGCTGCGGTTTTGAATTTGAACATGCATCATATTATAGCTGTTTAATTCCACTGATAAATTATATAGATTTATACGGAGATGCTTCAGTGGAATAAGCGAACACACCGCTATTTTGGTTTAATGTCTAAGACACATTTGTGTCTGCAATAGATGTCTGGATGTACTGTAAGTGTCATGCAGTTTCAGGGCTTCATTTGTTGCAG